TTTTTAAATTGTAAATAGATACAAGATTATGCTCGGCACTGTAAAATTATAATAAAAAAATTAAATTTTCAAAAATAAACAGCAATTGCTGCTTCTAAATTAGAGATGCAACATTTGATAGCCTATACTGCTGAACGCAGAATATTCATTTCGGACGAATAATGGAAGAATCGTCTGCCGAAGACAAAACTTAGTTCGTTTAGATCCATCTTTCTTGTTTTCTGCCCTGGGAATGATTTGTTTATTCGATTAACAAAAGAATAATGAAGATAAACAGAATTGTGAAGGGTCCAATTAAAAGAAATCATTTTGTGAAGGGTCCGTTTTTAAATTAAAATATTTTGTGAAGGGTCCGTTTTTATGAAAAGATATTTTGTGAAGGGTCCGTTAACGGTCCCAAATTTCCTCTAAACAGACCCCTGTATATATATATATATATTCTTCAAAAAACTACAATTCAAATTAATTTCTAAAAGAGATAGGACAAATAACTTATTTTGAAAAAATGAAATTTTAATGAAAAACACCTGTAGAAGCGTTCATCAATTCATTTACATTATTTAATTCATCATGGCTAGTCGACGAGGAGAAAGAGAATATTTAATTGTGGTTTAGGTTAATGTAAATTCGTTCTCCCACCACATTTATGCGCTATCATCGCCAATTCCAACTGCAATGGCCGAGTTTCCAATCCGAGGTATGGTCTGCTTATACTCCCCTGGTTGCTATTGGTAAAAAGTTTTGCTATGTACCACCTGTAGCCTACTTCATATATACCGTAATTAAACCGCATTATTGATTAAAAACTTGAAAATTTAGTAAGAAGTTGTATCCAATGAGGCGGCTAATATAGCTTATTTTTTCCTCCTTTATAAAATTTTGCTTTTTAGAAATCCCACTGGAAATTTCATCATCATTTTTTTCACCTGTTACTAGTGCTTTTTATTTATTTCTTCATGTTTAATGTTACTCCAAAGAATGGTCAGCACACCTGGAAATTTCCTCTCTCCCACACTCCTCAATCCTTTCTTGGAATCACTTTCTAGACACCACTATCAACAATAGTACTAAGTCTCTCTTTCCTTTCTGCCATAGGAGCAGCTGTTGAATGTAGGAAATGGTCGTGGAGTGGAGAAGCATAAATCAGAAAGGAATGAATGAAGGAAATCAGAGGGGGGCCAGTGATGACCTCAGCTGTAAAACAAATGATCCCCCTCCAGCCCTTTTTTCCAGGAACTGTGACTCTTCCACTTGTCATGAATGCCTTGCTCCAGTCCTCCTTTTTCTTCAGCTGGTTGTTAAAAACATGTGAATGCTTGATGAATAAAGAGTGCTGATGAGCTTGAGTTAACCTTGAATAATCTTACAACTAAAATTGCTCAAGAAGAATTTCAAACTTCCAACTGAGGATCAGTGAAGAGGGGAAAAGCAATGTGTGAGAATTTTAGACAGGGATAAAAGAAAGACCATCCTAGGGGAAGTCAGTTAAAAAAGAAACCTGATTTGATAAAAGAAAATAGGGAGATGAAATGCTAAATATAGAACCTTTTTTTTTTAATTGCTCGGGAGAGCGCTTTTTACTGTTTTTTTCTTCATTGCTCATATTTCGATTATCTTCCTCAGCTTATTATTTATTTATTTTTTTATCATTTAATCTTCAATTCTGATGCTTTTTTGTTCTGTTAATATTTTTCTTTCATTAATATTTTTGTTTCGTATTTGCTATTTTCGTTTTGTTTTAACATAACTTGTATTTAAGTTATCCATTTTAAATGCCTCCCATTAAGAGGAAAAATTATACCGCTGTGTTTAAGCTGTCAGCAATTAAAGAAACTGTGATAAATGGCCTCAAAAAAGTGGAAACTATCCCGTGACAAAACGAAACCGAAAGTAAGGCTGAAAGTGTGAGTGACGGAGATGAATCCGAAATAAACAATGAACTAGCAAACCTAATTTGCTCTGATGCAGAGAGTTCTAATTTTGAGGCATTTTTAAGTGCAGTGATATGAAAATATAGTGATAGGTGATATCTAAATAAATGATTCTTTCTTCTTTGAACAAAATTTTTTTGGATTTATCGTTTATTTCTAAAACAGGATTTTGGAATGCTGATTTAAATGTAAGATCATTTTATTTTTAACAATTTTAATACTTATTGTAATGGTTTTTGATGTATTAATCATTTTATTCATATTTTAATGGTTACTTCAAATTAAAATTAGAAAATGCATAATTTTACTTAGAAAGTTATTGAAATCTATTTTATATAGGGTGACCTGGGGTAATTCCTGATCAAAAAATGCAAACATCTATTTTGTGAAAAAACTATTCAAGATAGAATTTTAATATTTTCTGGAAGTTTGAGACTATATGAGATGAGTCCTATGGTACCTTCTTTTGTTTAAAAATCTAATTAGAATTTAAAAGATTTTAAATTTTTAGTGATCAGGAATTACCCCGTCTCTTGATCAATTCTGGGGTAAATTCTGATCATTTCTGAGGTAATTACTGACCACCAGTTCTTATAGTAAATGGGCTGTTTAAAAATAACTATACAATGGTAATTAACAAATAAGACATTAAGATCAAACAAATAAACCAAAAAGTTATGTTTAAGCAGATTATAAAACTGTTTATTTAAAATCAGGAATAAAGATTAACACTTCAGCTCTGGCAGCAGCTCTCACACTGAAATTTTAATTTTCAATCATTAAAAAAAAATTTACTATTTTTTCTTTCTAGAAGCTTAGTATCCTTTTTAAGCTTATAACTTCTCACCATATTTATATTAGGTTAATTTATCAACTTAAAAATTATTCTAACAATGTACACACATAAATTTAAGACAGAAGCAAGGTAAGACAGGCTAGAAATGGTGCATATCAGAACACATTTTTCTTGTATACAGTTAAAAACAAATTTTGTGATTATAGTTAAAATATATTTTATAGTTGTTCCACTTAATAAATATGAACTGTTATTTAAGAAAAGACAATTGACTATTTATTAGCTATTTTTTATACTATTTATAAGAAATGAAAATGATCAGGAATTACCCCAGTGATCAATAATTACCCCATCTGTAGGGGGCAACATTTGATATAGTTTCCTACAATCAATTATAATGTTTACAGTAGATGTGAAATAATTAAGCAAAAGCCTACACTATTTTTATATCAAAGAAAAAGAAAGTAACTCAATATATTTATAATTAAGAGAAGGAGGGGGATCTTTGCAGAAATGTGCACATTTTGAAACCCATCTTTGAAATGGAAAATACAGAAAGCATTTTAAAAGATACTTATTTTGTTAGATTAAACAAAAAAATATTATTAAGTAAATGTACTTATACATTAGTAAAGTGTACAAGCATTCCTGTCCATGTCTCAAATTTAAAAAAAAAATTATTTTTTTAAATAAAACTTATGTAATCATTATTTACCCCAGAAACAGAGTGATCGTGAATTACCTCAGGTCACCCTGCTAGGATTGTTACTATTTTTTTGTAAATTCAATATCCTTTTATTGGTTTTTATTTAACTATTTAAATTATACACATATGCATATTTAGAGTATGTGTTAAGTCTTTAATCAATACCAAAGTCAGTATAGTAAAATTTGACGCGGCGTGTAAGATGGTGCGGCATATCGGGTGAAAAACTTTTTCTTTTCAGCCGATTTTTGAGGCAGGATGTGGCGTATATACCAGGACGGCGTTTCTCCTCGAAATTACGGTATGTAACAACAAAGTGCACGGCCGAAAAAACTGGGCACAAAATCGAGCACTTACAAAAGATTTGTAAATGTAGAAATATCACTATGTGGCATTGTCTTCGGGTTTATTTTCTGGAAACTGATGCTTTTGTGGAGTTCAATGGCAGAATCGCTGCAACACTCTCATACTCACATAACGTTACAGAGTTCTTACAAAAAGACTTTTCCTTAGAGAAGTAAAAAATTTTTACTTTCTTTTCTGCAGAAATGTGATTTTTTTTCTCTCCAGAGTCATTATTAAAAGATACCTTTTTAACCTAAGGGAGATACCTTTATGAGTAAGGGGATTTTTAGCGTAAGGGAGATACCTTAAGGAGATACCCTTTTAGCATTTGGAGGGGAAAGAAATGCTCATGACTTTTCCCTTCTGTTTTTAGAAAAATCAAAAATTACTATATTTTACTTTTCAATAAAATTTGACTGTCAGTAGGCATATTTAATTTTTAACACAATCGATTTTTTTTTTTTTTTGGCATTCATTGTAACTGATTTCCACTCTGTTTTTAAAATCCGATTATTTTAATCCTAGATTAAAAATATGCAATACACTACAACAAAATAAATTTAAAATATATAACAACAGAATTTCAAAACAAAACAAGCATTTAATAAGTTCTTTATGAGAAGTCGGATTCACGTGATTTCGCCGCCTATCTTTTTTCTGGTACTTACTATTACGAATTTTAACTATTTTCTTCAATGTCATAATGATTTACAAAATATGAATATTCCCCCTACAAAATGTGTGAATGTCTTCCATGATATTAAAATTTTTAAAAAAAATATTACATATTCAATTAAAAAAAATTATATACAATTTTATTTTATCAGAATATTTCTTTTTGCTTTGTAAATACAACGCTTCTATTACTTAAAATAAGTAACATGCATATTTGCTATTATTCAAAATATCTTTCAAACATATATTAGAACTAAAGAGGTTTCACGCAGAAAGCCCAAAAATTTCTGCCACATAGATTGTACAATTTTGGAAGATTCTTTGGAAATTTTGGTTATGAAATTTTGGTGTTGGTTAACACTATGAAATCGTTAACAAAAATAAATTTTTGGCATATTTGGCGAGGTAGCAAAGGCTTTACGCTAGCCCTAAATATCAGCAATTAGCATTGCGAAAGTTACAAATTACTGATATCACAAATCAAACTAATATGGCTCAATATGCAGCAGTTGCACTGCATGCAGTTTGAAATGAAAACAAATTCTACCTGCCGAGCAGTCATTAAGTTTGGATCTTTCATTCGCCTTAACTCTTCGTCCACTTCTTCAAGTCGTCCCTCTTCAAGAGCCTCCAACCAAGCATCTTCATCATCTACCTTTTTGGACTTCTTGGATGAGTTGATTATGAAAGAGTCTGAAGCAATTGATGGTGAAGCACTTAAAACATCTGGCACCAACAAAAATTATCAGTTAGCTTAGAAACAGTCAAAATAAATTTAAAAATAGCTTGGTATTAATTATATGCCATGTTAATAGTGAGGCAGGCTTAACTAGACAATTGAAAAATGCACAGTTTGAAGAAAACAGAACCCTGAATAGCTTTTAATCTAATGATTGGATTCACACGTACCAGAACTCAACTTCAATGGTTCAATGGCCTAATATGCTTAAATATGCTGATTAATAAGTACAGCCAATATTTTAAAACAGGTAGGAAAGCAAACCCAATTTTTTTCTTAATGTATTTAAAATCTTGATATTCAAAATATGAGGATAGCTATAATCTGGAAAAGAGTTAACTCAGGTCCCTAAAGTTTTAGCATAAATCTTTGCAGTATTGTAAATGCTAAAATACTAAATATGAATTAAATTGGTAAAATAAAATAAAAACCTTTTTTAAATTGAATACCTCAAACCATTAACAGTCCTAGCAGCAATAAAAAAAAATTCTTAGATTTTGTATAAGAAAAAATAAAAACCTTTTAAGAGACTGATAGCAAATGAAGTTACCAGATACCAGATACAAATAATCATATACAATTTTATGTAATTTTGTTAATCAGCTCTATTTAACACCGAAAAAAAAAATTTGTAATATTTTGAGTAATGCCCAAGCTGAAAAAATAAATTCTGCATTTATATTACTTAAAAAAAGTATTGCTTTTACTGAAAAGAAGTCAAATCAATATCTTAAAATTGAAACACTAACAAGACATGCTATGGGTACAAAAAGAAAATAAATAATTTATTTTGAATTGCATGCGTTTTATTTAGATTTTATTTTGAATATTTTTTCATCAACTAAATATAGAAATTGAAAATTGGTTTAATCAAAATAAGTAAATTTAGGACATATAAACTGAGTTATTTAAACCTAGGCTTTCTCTGAAAACAAGTAGCCAACTCAAACACAGAGCAAAAAGTTATTGGCAAAAACAATCACATTTGAAAATCATTATTAATTCTGAGTCACATCATCTTATTTTGATCAACTACATAAAAAGTTATTGAAAATAAAATATTGTTATGGAAGATAGAATTCACATAGCATTCTATTCACTCAGTCACCATGGCTCATTTTCACAGTTAAAATATTTGTTTTTTAATTAACAATTTTTCTTGACTTTATTTTCACACACGCTGATATTTCAGAAAGGGATGAAGTCACTTTGTTTGCCCCCTCATTACAATTTCGGAATAAAATAAAGTTTCCTACCTAGAAAATAGAGTGAAAATTGAAACTTCTTCCTAGTTTCACTTTACTTTCCCAAATGTCAAGGCACATTATTCGATTTTTCAATTTAATTTCAAAACAAAATAAAATTTTCTATATGGTGTAAAGCTTCATAGTTGAGAAATAATAACTTTTTGCTCTTTAAAATTACCAATTGTACTTGACTTTGCCTTGGCAAATGTCGAAATAACAGAAGGGGTGAAGCACATAATTCACCACCACACTTGAATTTTAGAGGAATATAAAGTTTTCTATTTGAAAAATACATGTAGATTCAAACTTGAAAAGAATTTTTTTTAAATTATTAATTTCATTTGACTTTATTTCTGCGAGAGTATAAACTTCAAGAGGGGCGGTTTAGAAGGGACGGTTGCCCCCCCCCCCTCTAGGTTAGCACGCCACAGAATGACAAGATAGTAGATGAAACCACTACATTAGACAGAAGTACAATATACAGAATGCGCTAACAATTAGGGTTGCCACTCAAATGTGAAAAAAATTCCCTGTGTTTTCACTGTACATATTATACACAGTATATTAAGAGGAAACACAATATATTAAGAGGAAACAAAAAAAAATTTCCCAGTTTTTAAAGAAAAACTCAAAATTCCCTGTTACTTAGGTGATTTTTAAATTCCCTGTATTTTCCAGGCTTTCACTGTTCACCCTGTGGAGTGACAACCCTGACAATTAACTACATGCAGTTGTAGCTTCCCTTCTGAGAAGCATTTTTGTTATTTTGAGGGAGGGAAATAATTTTCGAAAAAAGTCCTTTTGCCATTTTTTTACTCCATCCTTTATCTTAAAGTAGATTTGCAATTACAAAAAAGACACACACACAATTTCTTTCCTACAAAAAAAGAGAAACTTAATTTTGAAAAAATGTGATGTCACCCCTTCATATGGGGTCTCCATAACCACTAGGGCCCCGACATAGTTACAGACCTGATGATGAGTTAGGAAAAAGCGTAAAACAAGGGAAGATAATTAGTCAAACTATTTCCAACAATTTTGATGTTACTATGTCATTATTACAACAGACAAATTTTTAATCGTGAAATTAAATAATCATTTTTTTATATACATATATAGGCAGATTTTATTGCAAATAAGTCATTCTTCAGTTGTTGTTTTTTTTTCGGCAGTTAGCGCCAGGCATTTGTACTTTATATTTAGAATCTTGATATTTCAATGCAATGCTACTGCAACCTTAAAAATTTAAAAAAGCACTAATATTTAAACTGCTTGTAATTGATTTTATTTTAAACTTTTTGTAGCTCAGATGATTTTTTTAGGAAAAAATGAAGAAAAAAAAATTTTCCTATTTAAAATTCATAAAACTTCTACTAACTCAAGAAAGAGAAAAAAAATATCTGAAATATAATACAAAATAAATATAGAATATAATTTTGTACTATAATGTTTTTGTTTTAATTTTTAGTTTTTGTTTAACCTCGATAGGTTTTTTCTATTTAAAATATGTATTTTTTTTTAACAGTTTCAATCTGAGAGCATTATAGTTTTTTTTTTCAGTAGAATAATATTTTTTCCCAATATTTATATATAAATTATTGATAAAAAAATAAACATTTTTTTTAAAAAAAAAGTATCAGTTTCTTCACTTTTTGAATGAACTCAAATAATTAAAAGAATTTAATTTTCCATAATATTAATCATACCCTAATAACAAAACAACTTCGGAACTCATTGGTCCAATATTCACCAATATTGGCTCAATAAGGTTTCAAAGGGCTATTATTTTGCCAATATTGAACTGATATAGAAATGTCCAATTAACCTGATATTTTATAGCCACTATTCAGCCAATGTTTACCCTATAAAGAATTTTCAAATTCACCCAATAATTTATTCCTCTTATTTCCCAACATTGAACCTACCTACACAGATTTGTTAAGTTGACCCAATATTTTATAGCCATTATTCAGCCTGTGTCTGTTCGAAGTAGGGCCTTTATAGGTTTACAACATAGGGGCACTATTGAGGTTACTAGATTTCTTAATATTGGTCCTTGAATGGTTTTAAATATAGGATCAATATTAATTTCTACATAGGACCCTTGTAGGCTTACGATACCGAACCTGTAGCGCAGCTAGCACTACAACTATTAAATTCTAGTTCACTACTATATAAGACAAGTTAACTTGTTTATTATGTTGGGGTAGATGAAGGATGCCACTGTCGGTAGTTTAGTCGCACAAGGCAGGCCCCACCATACACTCCAAATAGGTGACTTTCGTACTCGATCTGAATACACCGATCAAAACAATATGAATACAATGAACAATGACTTACAACTCTGATCTTGTGCTGTTTCTACTCAGTCTAGATTAGACACATTGGAGTCCTTTAGCATAGCCCCACATAGGTGACTCGCGGGCGTGATCACGCTTGCCTCAATCAACAATCTACAAGCCAATATTAAGAGTCCCTACATTTTGTGATATTAGTTCTAGAATGGCTTTCAATAAAGGACCAATATTATTTTCTATGTAGGAACCGTTATAATCTTGGGTAAACATTGGGATGTCCAGATTTTTCAATATTGGTCCTAGAATGACTTTCAATAATGAACCAATATCATTTTCTAAGTAGGACCCTTATAGACTTATAATGTTGGGTAAACATTGGAGTGTCTAGATTTTAAATACAGGTTCTAGAGGCAGAGATTAATCTTGTTCAAACATTTAAAGTCATTCTAGGAAATCTGGACATCCCAATATAGGTTCCTCTTATTGGACCCATATTAGCCAATTTTGAGTCAAACTGAGGCAAATGTAAAATTGTTGCCAGGGTATTTCTGATTTTAAAAAAATTGAGTATTTACAATATATATAAATTATATACTATCTTATAAGCACTCAATAATGTTTATATAAAAATTAATGTACTTTCTCCCACTATGCTGTGTAAATTCACAAAATCTTTCTACATGCCATGAGGAAAAAAAGTAAGAATTTAAAAAAAAATTCAAAAATAACTGAGAGCAAAGCAATAAATAAAATAATTTAATTTTTAAAAAATCAATATAAAAATGTGTTCATTTTATGAAAATATCCTGCAATAAAAATGGCATTTTACTTCAAAGAAAGTAAAATAAATGTTTAATCAAATTTAAGAAATTTAAATAAAAATTAAATACTAAGACAAACTAAAAAAAAAGAACATCTCACCAATATTTTCTGATTCATCACTAGATGCTTCACTTAATTCTGGTTTAGGGACTCTAAAAAAGTAAAAATTGAATGCAATAAGTTATTTTCATTTATAATATATTTGGTTCAGTTGCTTTTGATCACTACGGAATAACTTTAAATATAATCACACTAGGTGGCTATTCTCGTTCCAATGCCTCCTCTGCAACCTCCAAAATAATTTTTGTACTCTCAGTTTGAATTAATAAAAAGCTTTATAAAATGATTTACACCAAAATAAAAACAGGTAATAAAATTGAAAGTGAACAAAAATTAAGAATTTCCTCCCAAGTGAAACAAATCCTCGAGAATGTAAATCATTATTAAACATTTAATTTACATAGAATGAACTGAAAAATAAAGCATAAAAAGCATCACTGCTCAAAACAATGAAAGGGTATTAAGGTTGTACCTGGAGAATTGTTTGAATGATTGATACATTATCGACAGACGTAGTAGACTATAAGATAAAAATGACACTTGTTTGGTAAAAAAAAATGCATTTCATTGACAGCGTGCGTAGCCAACTATCACAACAAAAAATAAGCACCTTTTAAGCACTCAAAAAATATTTTTAAAGACTGTGTACGTTAACTGAATGCAAAATAATTTTCAAAGACTTTACATGATCATGATAAAATAACTAGTTTCTGACAAAGAACTGTTTTCTTGATTATACTAGCCATTATAAAATGATCACGAGATTTTTCGATATCAGAGGGTGGAAAATGAAGCCTGAAATGGAGAGTATCTTGCAAAATGCAGCAGAGTTGCACATGAGAGTGCAAGAATCTTACCGAACCCAGCTCAGTAGACACACATGCAGACTCGCAAGTAATTAAACATGCATAATGATTGAAGCTTTCATGCGTTACGGACCAACGGAGCGCCGAACTGGATTATTGTTGAATGATATGGGAAAATGTTGGGCAGAACTAGGACTGGGCGATATTAGAAATTATAGATTGTAATGCATCGTCAGTTTTGCATCTCGATATAGTATTTTTGAATTTCATTTACTTGTAAAGCACAGAAAGTCAGATTTCTATCAAAACTTCATACTCAGATTGATTTAAATCAATTTACAAATTTGAAAATATATATGGTTTGCTTAAGAAAGATATTAAATAAATTGACTACAATGTACAGATCTTACTTAAAATATTTATTGAAATGTTTGTTTAGAAATTCATAATATGCGTAAAACAAAGTGTTAAAAAAAAATTTTGAAGTGTTTTTTACTATGATAATAATCTACAAGAAAAGTCGAGACAAAGAAAATAAAAGCTAAGAGGTACGAAAAGGAACATGCGATATAACGTTATGTGTTCTCAAACTGATTCTGATTCTACAGCTCACCGATCAAGGCCATTTCAACATAAGGAAACGAACATTGTCTTCCACAGCGCGAGTCGACATCGGAACGTAAGAGAAGAGTCTTATATCGCTATATCGTAATCTTATATCCTTGCGTGTCTTATATCGCTATATCGTTTTGCGCTCGTTGTCTTTACTCGACGGCTTAAATCAGATTTCTGATGCATCGCCTTGAATGAAAGTCGCTGTATCGTCTTGCAGATATATGCGTTAAATCGATATGTCTCGATGCATTGATTTATAGCCCAGTACTAGACAGAACAATATAAAAAGCATGCTTTTGCACAATACCTGGCGAAAATCGAGACAGTAAAGGAAAAAATTTCATTTTCGAAAAGGGAAAATAAGCACTTTTTAAAAACACCCAATGAAAAAAGCACCTTTAAAGGCTTTTAAAAAACGAAAATTGAACATAAATTCCTTCAAGCGCTTTGCAAAAATGCTATGCACCATGGTTTGAGATGGTGGTAGGCATTCAGCAATTTGTATGCCTAGTATAAGGGTGCACAACCAGCGGCCAACCGAGTGTTGTCGGAGCTTCTTGTGTATAAAAAAATTCATATAAATGAGATATAAAAAAATTTTGAATCAAACATTTGAGTCATAAATGCACTCAATTTATTCTATTCTAAATCTATGTTGCTTCTCGATCTCCTTTTCATTGCTTATTGCTATGAAATTTCACATTTCAACTATTTTTAATACCATATAAAAATAATGTCAATTTGAGTAATATTTGCCGATTTCATCATTAATCTAAGAGTCTTTTCGATCGTTTTTTGTCATGTATAATTACCAAATTCCATGTGTTTTTAAAGATTCCGATACATATTTTATGATAATACAATTTGTGAGTTTTAAATTGCGCATCTTATTTATCACTTTTTTTACGTTCTTCATTTGTAACGATTTCATCATAAATCTAAATTATTTTTTTAATGGCGGTTATTGCTATACTTTACCTCGTGATTTCAGAAATTCAGAATTTTTATTATATTTATTATTATGACGTGCAAGTTCCAAATCGCACATTTAAATAATCACCTTTTGACACGCTTAGCTTTTACCCATTTCATCATAAATTCAAGTGACATTTAGATCATTTATAACCACTAATTTCCATGTGGTTTATAAATTCTTGATACATTTAATACAATACTACGAGTTAAGAGTTATAAATCACGTATCTAACTCATCACTTATTGACATATTATTTGTGCCAATTTCATCTTTTTTCAAAGGAAGTTATTAGTACATTTTTCCACGTGATTTTGAAAATGATAGATTTTTATTATGATGTTATTATGCCATACAAATTTCAAATAGCTCATTTAAATGATTACTTTTCTACATGCTCTGTTTTTCTAATTTCATCACAAATCCAAGTGACATTTAGATCGTTTTTGACATTTATAACTACTAATTTCAATCTGGTTAATAAATTCCCTATACATTTGTTACAATATTAGGACGAGTGAGTTATAAATCGAGCATTTAACTAATCAATTTTAAGATCCCGCTTAACGCTGTTTGGTTTAGCGCTCTTTTATTTCAACCCGGGGATTCCCTGAAATTGTGAGCAGGGACTCTCCCACATATGTACATAACATATCCGAGACAGTGTAATTCTGTTTTTTGTTTGGTGTGTTGCTGTACGAAGGCATTTTTTCATTTGAAACATTTGTTCACATTACTGTAAGTACATATTTGTTTATATTGTTTTTATTTTTGTAAAAAATAAATTTTTGGTTTTATTTTAATTAAAAAAAAACAATTATTAAATTTAATACCTAACCAATTTTCTATCCATTTTCCCCTAACCCCATTATTTCCATGTTAAGATAGTCTCGTTTAGCGCGTTTCGCATTGCGCTCTACTTTGATGGAATGTATCCTACGCATTAAGCGTGGTCTTATTGTACTTAATTTTTGCTGATTTCATTATAAATCCAAGTTGTTTTTCAATCTTTTTTTTTTTGGCAGTTCCTGCAATACATTCTCAGGTAACTTTAAAAATTCTGATTTTATTACGACATGCGAATTTCAAATCACGTATTTCAATGAACACTTATTGGCGCACTTTACTTGGGCTAATTTTAATGTAAATTTATTCATTTGTTTTTTGCAATTATTGCGATGTTTTTCTTCGTAATTTTTACATCCCTGTTAATTTAACTGCTGTGTTAAGACAAATCGCCAATTTAAATAATCACTATTTGATACAATTTATTTGTGCATATTTCACCATAAATATAACTTCTTTTTTCGTCATTTTGATAGTTGGCATCATACATTTGTACATGCTATTTAAAATCCCGATATTTGAATGCAATGTTATTGCACCATGAAAATTGGAAAACTCAAGGAAAATGTGAGTTTTTAAACTGCTTATTGTTTGCTATTTATTTTGTTTTAAATTTTTTTTAGCTTAGGTAATTTAGTTAGAAAAAAAATTAAAAGAAAACGTTTTATTTTTAAAATTCTGAAAACCTGTTATAATTCAAGAAATATAGAAATAATATCTGAAAAATAATACTAAATAAATATTGAATTTTATTTTGTACTATTTGTTGGATTTCTTTTAACTTTTTTGTTTAAACATAATAAATATTCTTTAATAAAAATACTTAATTCAAATTTATATTACCCTATAAAATGCATATACTTACTGTGCACTTTCATTTTATAAGCTCTACAGTTTCTTTTCTTTATTTTTCTTTCTTTAATTTATACAACCATATATATGAATGCANACATATAAAAGGAGAAAAATAAAATGAAGAAATGAGGGGGAAAATGAAGAAGAAAAATGATTAATGAAAAGAGAAGGAGAAAAAAATTTTCAAAATAACATATATAAAAAAAAATTTAAATAAAAATAGATGGGCTGACTCAGTGGAGTCTGATTTTCTTGCAATTAATGATAAGAATTGGAGATGAAAGGTGAATCAGGAGTCGTCATGGAGAAATTTTCAGAGAAAGGCATTGGCTCACATTGGGCTGTCTGTTTAACTATGATAATGATGATGAGATATAAAATTTTAGAAATCAGATTCAGAATTTCATTTTAAAATTGTACTAGAAAACAATCAAATTTATTTTTTTATGAAAATTTAATAAATTACACATTAAGTTCAAAAATAATTCTTTTCTTAGCTTTTTTTTTTATTCACATCTTAAAAATCGCAAAACATTAAAACAATTAATTATCATTGTAATATTTGAGTCTAATCTCCATATGAAACTAAAATATTTTACCTTGTTTCTCCAAATGTTTGTCCGCCAATCTTAATTTTGAGCTTCAACCCATGTTTGAGGTTTTCATTTGTTGTTTCTGGACTTCCTTGACCCGATCCTTCATCTCCTTCTTCGAGTCCTCCTTTCTTCTTTTTGTGCTTCTTATGCTTATGTTTCTTATGTTTTTTGTGAGTCAATCCTAACAAATCTGATAAAGAAAAAAGTTTCATTCTGCATGAAGAAAAACACAACATATTCAAAAGTAAGTAGGATAAGGAAGTATGCAAAGCTTAAAAAATATAAATTTTTCATAGAGGTTGTAGTGTATCTAAAAATACAATTCCAATTCACTAATAAGACATGTTAACTCAATTCTATGTTGGGGTACCTAATTATAGATGAAGGTTGACATTGTCTATAACTACTTTCCCCACAAGGTTTTCCAACAGGATGTTTTGATTTCAAAATGCACATTTGAGTACCACCTTATTTCGCTCTGTTTTAATGCATTCATTGTAAATTCAAAAGCTCTGATCAATTTTTCTTCTTTTTTATACTGTGACTGTCATGGATTCTACATAGTCTTTAAAATCCCTATATATATATATACATACAGGGGGTGGAAAAAATGGAAACTTATATATTAACACATTTTCTTTTTTTTTATATTTCTCAAGAAAGACTTACAGAATCATGTAATAACATCAGACAATTCAAAAAAATATATAATTTATAAATCATACTTTTATGTTCAAAAACTTTCTTCCCTTTTGGGAAAGATTTGAATAGTTTCCTGGTATATTTTTAAGACAGCATTCATACTTACATTTTTCTTGATGTAGTTTATTTCATTAGGCTTAGATTATTTCATTTTTCAACTGTTATTTAATTTATTACCATCATTATTTCATTTTTTTTGTGTGCCATACTGGTTGAAAATGGCAAACGAATGGACAAGTGATTGATATTTATATCGCACATCTTAGTTTTTTTTCTTTGTCGCGACTTGATATCGTTTCTTGTAGATTATTTTCAGTGGGACTAACTTCGTGATCGCCGTCGTTACCATGTTCTGAACGCAATGTATTATTGAACAGAATATATAAAGAAGAGTTTCTTCATTAATTAGGTAATTTTTTTTTTAATAAAACTTTTTTTTATTTTCAAATGTGAAAATTATCGGAAATCTAATTTAAGGAGCCCCTAAAAAAATTAATTACAAAGTAATTAAATATGTTAGGATATTTTTTTACTTTCTTCTATTTTATTAAAAACTTTTTGGATAAAACTTCGAATAATTTAATGGGTTTTTATTACTTAAATTTGTAAATCTTAAGTTGTTTTTATTTTTAGACTAAAGTTAAAACAAAACTTATTTTTTGACATTTGGATTTGGACACAAGTCAATCAACTTTGTTCATTCAAATAAAATTGAAAGGTTTGCGAATGTTATTAATTTTTTGGTCCTTTAATCATTTAGCACTTCGCTTTATAAGAAAGTATAATCATTCTTTTTAATTTTCTTTTAATATTATTAGTTAATTAGCTAAATATATTATTGAATATCACAATTCTTTTGTTTTTATTTTTTTTAAATTAAACGTTACTTTGTTTTTCGTTCAGAATTCAATTTAATTAAATTATTTATGTGAAATAATAATAGCTAATAAAAAATAGCGTTTCTTTTTCTAAAATTTATTTAGCATAGTTTTAAACATACAAATAATTTTTAACAAACTTATTTTTTAAATTTTCTTCCTATACTGTTAGGTAAATATATTGATGAATTTCAATTTTATTTATTTTTTTATGATTTACTTTTAAATTAAGAAATCTTTCGTTATTTGCGTGATCATTTTTAGAAAACATAAAAAAACTTGCGTTTACTTTTTCATTTAGAATTTGAACATTACTATTGAACTTAATATTTATATAATTATTTATGCATCACAGTACAAGAAAATATTGATTTGTAAAAAACGCTTCTTTAAAAATAAAAACAAAGTTTTTAACACTTAATTTTAAGCGTATGATGAATTTCTTAACAAACCTTTTTTTTTATTTTCTTTCAATAATTTTAGATAGATATATTTATAAAATTCCCTTTTTATTTTTAAACTGAGAAATCTTTCAAGGAGTGAAAATTTTAAGAAATTATAACAAAACTTATGTTGTTTTTTTTTTCCCACAGCGATGGTGTTCCCACCTTAACGTGGTGTTGTGTGTGTTGTCGATCCCGAGAGCTATGCCAGCGGGAGCTTCGGCTCCTGGTAGGGTCACCCAAGCCGGACAGGTCGGAGGGGAGACACCAGACAAAGAGGAACCCCCTGGTCCTCCAGGTTGGGGGTTGGGCGTGGGACTAACAACCCCACCTCGTAAAAACCGACATGTTTCGNTTAACCTATCCGTTGAGATCAAGTTATGATAATGATTTCATGGATATAGAAAGTAAGTATTATTTTATAATTTTGAGTTATATAACACATGTGTCAAAATTAATGTTCAGAGAATATTTATACTGACGCTCTGGGAATAATTTGCAAAGTAATTTTCAATAAATGCAAGTTTAGTTATTATTTTGAAATATAAAAACTAAGTTATAAATTGCAGAGTGTAAATTTCGATTCTGCTTTTTTTTGGACCTGATTGTAAATTATCAATATAGTTTTATCATTTAATTGAAATATATTGAATGAGTCCAAAGTGCCATTTGATATAACTTTAGAAACGCTTAACCATTGAACACTTAATTTAAATCCTTGAACTAATTAGCACTATTAATTCTATATTGTTAATGTTGTTTGCTTTATCTATCGTACTAATTTTTAAATAAATATAAAAAATCATATGAGGGTCAAATTTCTATATCTCATTTCAATATTTTTCTGTACGTGGATCTTCATTGAAAATTCATGCTCAAGAAATCATCAAAGTATAATGAATAGATATTTCTATGATGCGATGGTGTTCCCACCTTAACAGGGTGTTGTGGTTTGTGTGTGTTGTCGATCCAGAGAGCTATGCCGGCGGGAGCTTCGGCTCCTGGTAGGGTCACCCAAGCCGGACAGGTCGGAGGGGAGACACCAGACAAAGAGGAACCCCCTGGTCCTCCAGGTTGGGGGTTGGGCGTGGGGCTAACAACTCCACCTCGTAAAAACCAACATGTTTCGAAATCCAAAGTAGTAAGTGCCGAACTGCCTTCATGTAATTTGACCAGGAAACGTTCAATGGAAATGAGATTTGGGTACTGGAATATACGCACTCTCTATCAGAGTAAAAATCTGCAACTACTGATCGAGCAAATGGACTCATATAGATTGGACTTGTTGGCTATACAAGAAATTCGCTGGACTGGTAGTGGAGTCTTGGAAAAGAGAAGACACACGCTTTCTTACAGTCGTCATAAAACAAAACATTTATGTGGAACTGGCTTCATCTTAAATAAAAGACTCAGCCATCCGGTTATTGATTTTCAAGCTATCTCCCCTAGACTATGTCTATTACGCTTAAAAGGAAGTTTTGCCAACTATTCCATCATTAATGTATATGCACCAACTGAAGAAGGAGATGAGGAAAAAGATAATTTTTATGACGAGTTAGATCGCCTCTGAGGCTTATGCCCAAGACATGACGTGAAGATCATCATGGGTGATTTCAACTCTAAAGTTGGTCATGAGGAAGAATTTAGACCAGTTTTGGGAAACTATAGTTTACACGATGTCTCAAATGATAATGGAGTCAGGCTTATTAGTTTCGCTGCATCTCATGATATGATAATTGGAAGCACTTTCTTTCAACATAAGAACATTCATAAGGTAACGTGGAGATCCCCTGATGGATCATACAGAAATCAGATTGACCATATACTAATTAGCTCTAGATATCGTACAAATCTTTTAGATGTAAAAACTCACAGAGGAGCTAACTTAGACTCTGATCACTATTTAGTGATCTGTAAGCTAATGGAAAGAATCTCAATGGTGAGAAAAACAAGAAGGGTTAATTCTGTAAGATTTAATTGTGATAAGTTGTGCAATCCTGAGGTTCGCAGGTAATTTCAAACTCAACTCTCAACTGAGCTTAATGCGAAAGAGGATTGCGATGAATTAAATAGGGAATGGCAACAAGTAAAAGATTCTATACTCTCAACAGCACATGAGCTGCTGGGCAGGAAAAAAAGATCAATAAGAACCGACTGGTTTGATGAAGAGTGTAGAATGGT